AGCGATTTGCCGCTGGCTACACGAACAGCGGTGTCTACGAAATCACTACCCCAAACACAAGCAAGATTGACGTATACTGTGACCATGGAAACGGTGAAGGTATAGTAAACCCTTGAATTATATTATGATAGATTTATTTTGCTGACTTTCTTTCTTTGACCATGTTAGAGGATTCAGGCTGGACGATGGTTTTCAAGGCCGTAAGTGGTGTACCACTACAACAACAAGGTCCTTCAGTATTATGGCTGTCAAACTCTCTTCTAGAATCCTCTTCGTCAGCTTTATCCATAAACAGCTCGTCCAGACAGCACTATAAAAACAGGATCGTAGAACACTGGCAGGCATTCAATCCAACACAGGTACTGTAGTATTTATACTGTTTGTTAGCAACTGTTGGAAAAGGGTGGGAACAAAAGTCACATGACCAAAGAGGGCGGGGGCAAAAGTCACATGACCAAAGGGCGGGAACGAAAGTCACGTGACCAAAGAGGGCGGGGACAAAAGTCACGTGACCAAAGAGGGCGGGAACGAAAGTCACGTGACCAAAGAGCTGGTAAACAAAGAGATCTAGGTTGGTATTTCCAACTGCACACAAGTTATAATTGGTGCTTCTCATAGGTTCGATTGTCGTTGTACAAGGACAAGAAAGAGGTTGTTCTTTTGGTATTCAACGCCACAGGATCTACCAAGACCAACTGGTTTTCTCGTGTTCGTCTTCTAACAAGTCCATGGACTGACATACATTCCCAGCCTGTCAACTACTTCTCCATCAATGGTGATATCAGGGATATTTTGAGGCGAACCTTTTTCATAAACAGTCAATATGTTGATTGTTCACTTGACTTAGGATGGATGGTTCTTGAGGAGAAGATCCCTGGAGGATGCACCTGGGAAAACCATTTTCAGCATTTCTCGGTATTATATTCTCCAACCAACAGCCGCGTACTGTGGTCAAACGAAGGTTAGCTATAGTAAAGTACTCAACTGTAAAGAAGAGCCTCATTCGTCTATCAACAACTAAAGCACTTTTTTTATTTTAACAGGTGCATGGTCCGTGGCTGACATGATGGCCATATACATACGATGATCACGTGATGACTACATACGATGATCACGTGATATGACTACGTACTTATGATGATCACGTGATATGACTACGTACATACGATGATCACGTGATATTATGACTATATACATACGATGATCACGTGATATGACGGCAATACACGATTTTCATAAGTCAGTATTTTTCTGATAGAGAAAATGAGGCCTTTTAACGTTATCAGAAACTATCAATATTATATGAGACAGTACTCCTCGTTTTGGTGCATTTTCAAAACTTTAAATGCTCATATCTTATTAAGGATTTATTACCTCCATTAGAAACTCACATATATTATCAGTAAATCAACAAACTCAATGATTTAAAAGGGTTTTCACTCCAAAAAAATGATTTCAAACGTTTATGCAAATTGCCTGCAGCAGTTATGAGGGCCGTGTATGTACATACGATGATCACGTGATAAAGTAATTTAGTTTAACGTGATTGTTTATATATAACTCTTATTATATTTCATACTTGTAGGGTTTTTCTGTTTCGAAAAGAAATTTTATTCGTAATTCAAAAAAAAATGTATGCAAATGGTAACTGTTGGGACTTTTTTAGAATTACATTTGCTATCGTTTGTTTTTCTGCACATGAATACCGCGGTGCGAGCTCTACCTGTTTGCTCACGTTTTTTTGAAAAATACGAAAAAAACATGTGTAAACAGAGTAGAGCGTGCAGAAAAACGAACGTTCAAATGAATGATTCTAAAAATAGCATCAATGATTCTAAAAATAGCATCAATCTTTCTAAAAATTGCATCAGAGTGCTCATGATGGGGCATAAGGATCCATTCTCTTAATATACTTACACTACTCCAGAAGTAGAGAAGTTCTCTTTTCTCATGGCACAGAACATAGCATGGGCTCAACTATTCTTGTGTAAGAAATTATTTGATTTAGAGTAATCTCTAGTATAATATGCGAATGTGCTCGTTATATTATCCTAATACCATCATACAAGAATGATCCTTTTCTGCTTGTAAGTAAAGGTTTGTAAACAGCCATTGTTTTGTATAGGTAATGAGATGATTTCTCGTTCAATTTGGATTAATTTGCACGAGTTTCAGTGTTCAGTGTTCTTCAAAACGTCCGTAATTGCGTGAGGCCGTAGGCCGAACGCAATTTGGGCTTTTTGAAAAACAAACGAGTTAAATACATTAAAAAATTAAAAAATACATTAAAAAATTCAACCAAATTAGATAGAAAAAAAAGCATGTTGGAAAGAATGCACAAAGCGAAGAACTCGTTTGTTTTGCGATTGTGTTTGTCAAAAATCGGTTTACAAAACAATATTTTATTTACAAAACAGGAAAGAAATATGAATAACAAAGATTGCTTTTGATCTTTTAAAACATGTTTAGGAATCATTTTTTTCATCTTCAAGACTTCAAATATTTGACATTTTTTGAGAAAACAAGCAAGCATTCTGCAAAACTTACATAAATCATCAAATATCCTCTTTTTTCAATTGATAAACACTCAAAGGAAAGTTGATTAAGCTGCTGAAGTTCTTTGTACAGAAGTATTATGTACCTCTTTACGGATAAAGTAGGCGAAAGCTCTTGAAGTTTCAACATCAAGTTTCAACGTCTCTCGCTTCAACTCTCGAGTCAAGTGATCTTGAACAGCTGTAAAATGGCCCAACTGATGCTTTCTTACCTTCTTAATTCTCAAGTAACAAGCAGCGATTCCTTCCTTTGCCATTCTCAATCTTTTTTGCTGGTTTTCAACTGATGAAGCTTGACTTTTTTRGCATTTTTGAATCCATTTTGAAGATGAAAATCCGCCATCTTGAATTTTCTGAGAACTTCCAGGGAGGGAAGGCTGTTCTGTTGCTATGGCAGCTGTTAATTCAATTTCTATTGTCTTTTCAACCAATCACTGAAAAGTGTTTCACATTTTTGCACTGGTGTTTCAGGAAAACAGCACTGCTCTCAACCAATCAGAAGTGAGAAATTTTTGCATGTATATTATTAGATGAAATAAAACGACCAATTACAACTCCTCCACGATCGCAAAATTCTTATAAATAGTTAGGTTACAGATTTAGAAATTCTTATTTTATAAAAACGAATGTATGGAAAAAG